CCCCCCCTGCTTTGTCAGCAGTTGTGTCCTAAGCAGCCTCCACCTCCCCTCCACTCAGGCTACATGGAGCAATAATGTCAGGCTTTTAAGAGTTACATTGATGTCTCACTCTGCTTGCTGTCCTCCAGGGCACAGCGGGACCCGACCCCACCACTGTTTACGTGGACATGAGAGCGCTGCGTCACGACAGGTAGGGGGCGCCGCTGCAGCTTAAATAACAGGAGTTTTCTTTGAGATATAAACGTGGACATGTTTAGTCAGTCTAATGTGTGGTGTTATTATAATTCTGGTACACATTTTTATAGCAAATGAATACATTCTTCAATCTTGAACTGATTAGTTTTGGCTGTTTTTCCTGCTTTTTTCACATTTGGGGAATAGAATAATAACAAAGAGATTGGTATATGTATCCTTCAGGGTCCGCCTGGTAGAGAGAGGGTCTCCACACAGCCTGCCACTGATGGAGTCTGGGAAGGTACGTGATGTACACATTTATATTTTTCAAATAGATTTTGTTGTATTCTATATGTATGCTCCTTGTCGATGCAGATTTCTACATACACCAGATTCTTGAAATGCACTAAAAGACTACAGGTAACTGTGTGCTGCAACATGTTTTCTAAATCTTTGATATATCTCTGTCTGCTGTTCTAGATCCTTCCAGGAGTGAAGGTGATCATTGCCAACACAGAGACTAAAGGACCCTTGGGAGACTCCCACCTAGGAGAGGTAAGTCACAAAGTCACCCTCACCTGTTCCACATGCATTATAAGTGCGCTTACTGCAGAGAACTGATCTCTTAAACGTCATATCAACGAAAACACACATTTCTATAATGAGGGTAATAGATTATAACAACCTTGTTTTACAAGCTAGATTTCTCAAGGAGTTTTAGTGAATTAAGAAAACTTTAGACAGGGTAACGAGATGATAGAACAGGTGCCATCCTTTTAAATGAATAAATACATCTTCCTTTTTAAACAGCAGATTGAAGTTTAACTGGATCTTGCACAGAGTTGCATTGAGAGATCTAAAGACAGTTTCCAACAAACAATAAAATAACTAAGAAAAGCTGTGCTCTCACTTCAAAGCCTGTCCTTACACCAGACCTCCACAGCAGATGTATACAACCATGTGTGTGACCTCTCTGTGTGTGACCTCTCTGTGTGTGTGTGTGTGTGTGTGTGTGTGTGTGTGTGTGTGTGTGTGTGTGTGTGTGTGTGTGTGTGTGTGTGTGTGTGTGTGTGTGTGTGTGTGTGTGTGTGTGTGTGTGTGTGTGTGTGTGTGTGTGTGTGTGTGTGTGTGTGTGTGTGTCAGGTGTGGGTGAGCAGTCCTCACAATGCCACAGGATACTACACAGTTTACGGGGAAGAGGCGCTGCACGCCGACCACTTCAACACCAAGCTGAGCTTCGGAGACACCCAGACGGTGTGGGCGAGGACGGGCTACCTCGGCTTCCTGCGGCGCACCGAGCTGACGGACGCCAGTGGAGGTGAGGATAACAAGCGCTCACTTGTTTAGGTCAAATACAAAAATGCGGTCTGTGTATTTTTTTTTAATAAGTAATATGTGATTTTATTAAGTTAATTAACTATTAATTATTTTTTAGAAGTCAGTTGAAGATAATTTGATGAAATTGGGGTTAATATAAGCATGATATTAAAACTAAAAAAGACAACACTTGTATAAACTTTTAATGCCACTTTAAGAGAAAAAGGGCTCTTGTTTTTAATGAAATAAATAAAAATGCCTTACAGTAGAACAGTTTGCTGATTAGAGCAGCTTAACTTTGAATACTTTTCTATGAAAATACAAAAACACTGTAAAACAAAATACTTTTTTGTTTTATTATTTGTACATCAGTTCTAAAATAAATGTACAATAATAAAATGAATGCAGTTGTTGAGCTTTAACACATTCTAACTTGGTACATTGCTTGTGTGTGTGTGTGTGTGTGTGTGTGTGTGTGTGTGTGTGTGTGTGTGTGTGTGTGTGTGTGTGTGTGTGTGTGTGTGTGTGTGTGTGTGTGTGTGTGTGTGTCT